CTTCTCATGTTCATGAATTGAAAGAATCAACATTGTTAAAATGTCCATGCCACCCGAAGTGATTTACAGATTCAATGCAATTGCCATGAAAATACTAACATTACTTTCACAAAACTAGATAAAACAATCCTTAATTTCACATGGAATCAAAAAAGAGCCCAAAGTGCCAATTCAATCCTAACCCAAAAGAAGGAGATATCACACTATCTGATCTCAAATTATACTATGAGGTTATAGTAATCAAAACTGCACAGTACTGGTACAAAGGTTGATCACAGACCAACAGAATAGTATAGAAACCCCAGAATTAAAACTATATAACTACAAACAACTGATTTTTGACAAAGCAGACAAAAAAACACACATTAGAGAAAGGACACCCTATTCAATAAATGATGCTGGGAAAACTGGATAGCCAAATGCAGAAGAATGAAACAGGACCCCTATCTCTCACCATACACAAAAAATAACTCAAGATGGATTACAGACTTAAATGTAAGACCTAAAAGCATAAAAATTCCATAAGAAAATATAGCACAAACTCTTCTAGACATCAGCCTAGGCAAAGAATTTATGACTAAGACCCAAATGGCAAATTCAGTAACAACAAAAACAAATAAATGGAACTTAATTAAATTAATAAGTTTCTGCACCACAAGGGAAAAAAATTAACAGAAAGACAGACAACCTACAGAATGAGAGAAAAGATTTGCAAACTATGCATCTGACAAAGGACTAATATTCAGAATCTACAAAGAACTCAAACAAATCAGCAAGGAAAAAAAAAATCCTCATTAAAAGTGGGCAAAAGATATGAACAGATATTTTTCAAAAAAAGATAGACCAATGGCCAAAAAGCATATGAAAAACTGCTCAACATCAGTAATCATCAGGGAAATGCAAATTAAAACCACAATGAGATACCACCTTATCCCTATAGAATGGCCATTTTTTTTAAGACAGAGTCTCGCTCTGTTACCCCAGGTAGTATGCAGTGGAGCTATCATAGCTCACTGCAACCTCAAACTACTGAGCTTAAGCAATCTACCTGCCTCAGCCTCCCAAGTAGCTGCAACTACAAGTGGGTACCATGACATCTGGCTAATTTTTCTATTTTTATAGACACACAAGGTCTTGTTCTTGCTCAGGCTGGTCTAGAACTCTTGAGCTCAAGTGATCCTCCCACCTTGGCATCCCAGAGTGCTAGGATTACAGGCATGAGCCACCTCACCCAGCCAAGAATGGCCATTATTAGTAAGTCAACAAACAGTAGATGTTGGCACAGATGTGGTGAAAAAGGAACATTTATACACTGTTGTATAAGTAATGTAAATTAGTACAACCTCTGTGGAAAACAGTGTGGAGATTTCTCAAAGATTTAAAAACAGACCTACCATTTGATCCAGCAATCCCATTCCTGGGTATCTACCCAAAGGAAAAGAAGTCATTATATCAAAAAGATACCTGCACCCAAATGTTTATCACAGCACAATTCACAACTGCAAAGATATAGGATCAACCTATATGCCCATCATCAATGAGTGGATAAAAAAATATGTGTGTATTCATACACACACACACACACACACACACATATACATATGAACCACTACTTAGCCATAAGAAGGAATAAAATAAGTTGTCTTTTGCAGCAACTCTGATGGAACTGAAAAACATTATCCTAAGCAAAATATCCCAGGATGGAAAAACAAACACCAAATGTTCTTACTCATAAGTGGGAGCTAAATGATAGGTAAACACAGTCATAGAGTGATGTAAAGGACAATGGAAACTAACAAGGGCGGAAGGTGTAAGGGAGGTGAGTGATAAAAATGTACCTATTAAGTACCTATTAAGTATAATGTACTTATGTATTAAGTATAATGTACATAAGATAAAATTGAAAGGTTTTGCCCTAAGATCCAGAACAAGAAAAGGATGTCTACCCCTCCACTACTATTCAACAGAAAGACTGAAAAGCACTGGAAGTCCTCATTACAGCAATTAGGCATGAGAAAGAAATTAAAGGCATCCAAATTGGAAAGGAAGAACTTAAATTGTCCCTGTTTGCATACAACATGACCTTATATACCCTAAAGACTCCTCAAAAAAAAAAAAAAAAAAAAAACCACTAGAACTAACGAACAAATTTAGTAAAATTGCAGGATACAAAATCAACACACAAAAATAGGCAGTGTTTCTGTACACTAATGGCAAACTATCTGAAAAAGAAATCAAGAAAAAAAAACATGTATGATAGCTAAAAGAAAATTGAAAACTTAAGAATAAATTTAATCAAGGAGAGGAAAGATCTCTACAATGAAAACTATAAAATAATGATGAAAGAAATTAAAGAAGACACAAATAAATGTAAAGATATCCTGTTTTCATGGACTGGAAGAATATTATTAAAATGTCCACAGTACTACCGAAAGCAATCTACAAATCCAATGGAATCTCTATTAAAATAACAATGACATTCTTCACAGAAATATAAAAAACAATCCTAAAACTCACATGGAATCACAAAAAAACTCAAATAGCCAAAGCAATCCTGAGCAAAAAGAACAAAGCTAAAGGCATCACACTACCTGACTTCAAAACATACTACAAAGCTATACTAATCAAAAAAGCATGGGACTGGCATAAAAGCAGACATATAAACCAATATGAAATAGAATAAAGAGCTCAGCAATAAATCTACACACTTACAGCCAACTGATTTTCAACAAATGTGACAAAAACACCCAATGGAGTAAGGACTATAAAATAGTGGTGGGAAAACTGGATATCAACACCTGCAGAAGAATGAAATGAGACCCTTATCTCACCCACTATATACAAAAATAAAAACAAAACAGATTAAAGACTTAAATGTAAGACCTGCAACTATTAAACTACTAGATGAAAACATGAAGTAAAGTTCCAGTACATTGGTCTGGGCAATGATTTTTTTGGATATGACCCCAAAAGCAAAAATAGACAAATGGGATTGCAACAAAATAAAAAGCTTCTGCACAGTAAAGGAAACAATCAACTGAGTAAAAGATAACCCATGGAATGGGAATAAATATTTGCAAGCTGAACACCTGATAAGGGTTTAATATCCAATATGTATAAGGATCTCACAAAACTTAATAGCAAAACCAACAACAAATAACCTAATTAAAAATATGCAAAAGACCCAAAAGGACAATTCTCAAAAGAATTACAAATGGCCAACAGGTATATGAAAAGATGCTCAGCATCACTAATCATGGGGGTAATGCAAATCAAAACCACAATAAGAATCACTGTACCCCAGTTAGAATGGCTATTATCAAAAAGACAAATAATAAATGCTGTTGAGGATGTGGAGAAAGGGGAACTCATATACTGTTGGTGGAAATGTGAATTAGTATAGCTATTATGGAAAACATTAGGGAGGTTCCTCAAAAAATTAAAACTGGGACTGCTATATAATCCAGCAATCCTACTACTGAGTATATCCAAAGGAAATGAAATAAGTATGTAAAAAAAATCTGAACTCTCATGTTAATCGCAGCTATTCACAATAGCCAAGGTATGGAATCAATCTAAATACCCATCAACAGATGAACGGATAAAAAAATGTGGTAAACCTACATAATTAAATATTATTCAGCCATAAAAGGGAATGAAATACTGATGCATGTTATACCATCTATCAGTGTGAGAAAACTCCAAAAACACTATGGTAAGTGATAGAAGTCAGACACAAAAGGTCACATTGTGTATGATTCCATACATATAAATTATCCAGAATAGGTAAATCTATAGGGACAAAAAGCAGATTAGTGGTTGCCAGAGGCTAGGGAAAGGAAGGGACAGGGAGTGACAGCTTAATGGGTATGGTGTTCCTCTTGGGTGATGAATGTTTTCAAACACAATAGGGATGATGGTTGCCAAAACTGTGAATGTGTAAATGCAACTGAATTGTACACTTTTAAATGGTTACTTTATGTTACATGACTTTTACCTTAGTTTTAAAAAGTGAGTTGCTTATGTGTTTTACTTGCTTGGCTCATTTGACAGAATAATGTCATAACAAGTACAAATGTTAAAAAGAGATAGCCTGGGTTCAGATCTCAGCTTTGTCACTTCTATATGAGTTACCTTAAGCCAGTGATTTGCTGTCTATGTCTCAGTTTCTCATCCCTAAAGCCAAGTAAGAGTATTCATAGGATTATAAGAATTAAATAAGTTAACACATTTGAAACACTTAGAATGATTTTAGTATATAGTAAGTGTTTAATAAATATTAATTTAAAATAACTATTATTTTTGTGGCAATAAAAGAAGGAAATGGTTTCATACAGAGGAAGACTGAGAATTCTAAGAAACTTTTATCAAAAATGGTATAAATTCAGAAATCTACTATTGATAAACCATACCCTAGAAGCAGATAATACAAGAGCTTCAAGTAAAAATCTACCATTTAACTCAACTTTCTATATAAAGAGAACTGAGCATAGAGCCAAATGATATGTGACTCTTGTGAGGTTGGTTACCATCTTTCAGCAGCCCTTAATAGTAAACAAAGCAGATATGCTAAGTCAAAAAATGAGTGGCAAGGGGTACAGCAACAACAAAAAACAAATCAGAACTAAATAAAGTCCAATGAGAATACATAACATATCGCTGAAATTCTAAAAACACTTGAGAGAATGTGAAATTTTTCATTAAACACTTCAAAAATACTTGAAATAAAATAGGAAATAAAAACAGCAAAATGATGCTGTCAAAGTTAAAAAGTTGCATAAGGCACACTGAGGACTATGCAACCAAGGAACAAAATGAATCAAAGTTTCTTTTGCATCTAGTCTCTAGCAGAATCTAGCCTAAGAGTGGCAGAAATTAGGAATAACCACCACCCCTCCCCACTCCTGCATACATGCACACACACACACACACACACACTTGAAGATTATAAGTAAAGTAGCCATATAAATAGAGGAAACTGAGTAAGTTCTAATTCTTACCTTCTTCTGCTTCATCCTCCTGGGGTGACATTGGACCCCCTCCACCAGTAGGAGTGACTGGTTCCTCCTTGTCTGACTCTCGCTGCAGACTCACCACCTCATATATTGCATCTCCACCACTGGTATGGTCCTTTCCCTCAGACTAAAAAGATATAACAATATTTTAAATATTAGATATTTGAAGGAAACATTGAAAGATAATATTTCAATGGCTCATTCAAAAGAGCTGAAATGAAAAGAAACATGGTATTTTGATCTACAGTATGTCTGAGGTTGAAAAAACTTTTACAGTGCAATGTTCTAAACATGATATTCTAAATGTAAATTACTCTTGTATTATTTTAACCAATACAATGAAACCTACTAACCATTTTGGGAAAATTCAGTTTCTTTTTACCAAAAAAACCTAAGACACCTCAGATTCCAGGATAGACAGATAAGTAAATGATGCCAGATTCTTAAAATTGACCACCTCATACTTAGGTAAAGAAATATCAGCTATACCCATAAAGTTTTTATCTTATGAACAGTCTGCAGTCTAAACAGCCACTTTCTTTTAGGAGGGAAATTTATGGCAACTGTCAATTAAACACCCTAGCATGGAATACAAAGTCCTGGATAAATTGGTGTCTGCCTCTCTCTCTAGCTCATCTCACACACATAGTTTGTTGCTACATCCCAGCCACTCTGGCCTTGTTTCAGCTCCTTGAAGCCTTTAAACTCTTTCCCAACTCAAGGCCTTAGGACATCATTTTCTCTCTGCCAATATAGGTTTTCTCCTACCCTTTGCTATTTTCCAGCCATACTGGATCTATACCTCAAATGTTATTTCTACAAAGAGGTTTTCCAGACCCTCCTCAAGACCCTCCTCAATATAAACTAAGTTTCCCATCAAAATACCCTGTCCTTTCCCGTCACTATATTTACCATAATGTAATTAAACATTTGTTTTTATATTTATTTGTTGAATATTTGTCTCATCCATAACAGCAAGGAAAGTGATGATTTCAAACAGAAATTATATTGTACCTTATACACAGTAGATATTCAATAAATATATGTGGGATGAATGCCTAGACTAATGGTAAAAGATATGGATTTTGAAATCAAATAGACTTGGGTTTGAACTTAAAGTTTCACTACTAATAAGATGTATGATAGTGGACAAATTATGTAACTTTGCTGAGCCACAATATCTGTATTATTAATAATAAAATGGAATAACACTTCCTTCAAATTCTTAAGATTAAATATAATAATACTTCTGGCATTCACCCAAGTGCTTATAATAATTTTTTTCTTAATTATTATATTTACAGCAAAATACTAGGTTCTAAAAGACACGAAATAAGAATACAGACATATATAAAGACATAATTATCTCTAAAATCTACCTGTACTATAATCCAATCAAGTTATTAAAATATAACTATTTTATTCACTGTTTTCAAGAAATTAATTCTGAGCCATATGCAAACTTTAAGTGCATTTTCAAAATCACTTCAAATTATGAAAACTAAAATTGATCAGTGCATTAAAATATAGAGAAAAAAGAAGACCGCACTTAGAAGTTAAGTGGTTATGTTTAAACCAACCAAAATTTTATTGCATTTCTACTATATTCAAGAAACAGAGACCTCAATCCATAGAACCACTGAAAGAATATAAAGAGATACAACAAAAATGAAATACTAATAAAATGTTCAAATAATCCACAAGAAGACAGGAAAGGGGGAAACAGAGGAATGAAAAGCAGAAAACAAAAAAAAAAAATAAAAGCAGAAAACAAGCAAAAAACAAATAATAAAATGGTCAACAATTGAAATATATGAATAATTATATTCAATATAATTGACATATACATACCAATTAAAAGACAGATTGTCAGATTATATTAAAAGCAAGGCATAACTACATTCTGCCTAACAAAAACATCCACTTATAATAATACAGGCAGGTTAAAAGCAAAATGAGGGAAAAAGATATACCATGAAAACACTAATCAAAAGAAAGCTGAAGAGACTTTATTAATATAAGACAAAGTAGACTACCAAGCAAGAAAAAAAATCACCAGGGATAAAGGACATTACACAAAGCTAAAAGGATCAATTTAACAAGAACATACAAGAATCTTATAACTGTATGTACTTAACAACATGGTCTCAAATACAGGAAGCAAAAACAGATAGAAATGAAGGAAATAGACAAGTCCACATTTATAATTGGAGACTTCAACATTCCTCTTGCAGTCATCAATAAAAAAATTTTACAAAAATTCAGCAAGGTTTAGAAGAATGGAACATCATCAAATAGACAGTTATATTTATATATCACCCCACCAAAAACAGCAGAATCATATTTTTTTAAAATGCACATGGAATATTTATCCAGAAAAACCATTTCCTGGATTATAAAACAAACTGTAAGAAATTTTAAAATATTGAGGCTAGTCCAAAGGTAGCGAGTTATCTCACTTGACTGTTCACAATCAGTTACAGATTGAACTCCTAGATCTACTACTTTCCCCCCTTCACACTACTGCATTTGACTTGTTTTTAAAAAAAAGAAACAAATTTTTAAAAATTGAAATCATATAAAATATGTTCAGTAACCATAATATAATTAAACTGGGAATCAACAAGAGAAATGTATCTTAAAAATCCCCAAATATTTCAAAATAAAATAACACACTTCTAAACAATCCATGGATAAAATATTCCTCCAAAGAAGAATGTTTGAAATAGAAAATATTTTAAACAAAAATAAAAATATAACAAATCAAAATTAGTGGAATACATCTAAAGAGTGTACATAGAGAGAGTTAGAGCTATAAATGCTTATATTATAATACAAAGGCAGCATCTAAAAATACTAATCTCATCTTCTACCTTAGGAAATTAGGAAAAGAATGCAAAATAACCTAAAACAAGTAGAAGAAAAGAAATAAAATAACAGCAGAGATAAATTAAACTGGAGAAAGAAAAATTTAAAAACCAACAAAACCAAAAGGTAGTTCTTCAACATCAATAAATCGATAAACCTCCATGTAAACTAGCATGGAAAAAAATATAGAAAACACAAATTACCAACATCAGGAATGAAAGAGTAAATATCACTAGAGACTCCAGAGACACAGAGATCAAAAGGAAACAAAGAAACACTGCCAACAGCTCAATGCATATTAATTGGACCACTCACATACTTTGATCACACATAGAAACTAATTATTGTGCCAAGCAATAGGATTTCAAATACTGTATTTTGTAATTCAAAAAACTTTTAATTTCTAATATTCACATATTTTTAGATAAATGAAATTAGATTTTGGATTAAATAGAACAATTCCTTCAAAGCCACTAAATACCCATACTTATCCAAGAGGAAACAGATAACCTGAAAAGTCTTATATCTACTAAACAAATTGAATTTGTGGTTAAAATCCTTCTGAAAATAAAAACTTAAGGCCAGATGGTTTCAATGACAAATCCTACCAAATATATAAAGAAGAAATAACACTAATGCTATAAAAAAATCTTTTAGGAAATTAAAGAGAATACTTCCCAACACATTGTACAAGACCACTATTTTCCTGATACAAAATCTAAAGAAGTTATTACAAGAAAAAAAAAAAACATAAACCAATATCTCTTATAAACACAGACAAAAATCCTCAACCAAATATTAGCAAATCAAATCCAGCTATTTATATATATGTAAGTCAACTTCAAATCAAATACATTGCAAATCATATATATATATATATATAAAAATACACATATATATATAAACACATCACAACCAATGTAATATGTGTAAAACACATTACAACCATTGGGGTTTATCTGGGGAATGCAAAGCTGTTTCAAACTTGGAAAACTCAATCAGCATAATTCACCATATTAATAGATAAAAGAAGAGAGGAGACGAAGGATAAAGAGAAGCCCGTTAATGGGTACAAAAACAGATAGGAGGAATAAGTTCTAATATTTGATAGCACAGTAGGGAAATGATAGTTAACAATAATTTAATGTATATTTCAAAACTGCTAAAAGAATTATAATGTTTCCAACACAAAGAAAAGATAAATGTTTGAGGTGACTGATAACCCAGTTACCTTTATTTGATCATTACACATTGCATACATGTATCAAAATATAACATGTACCCCCAAAATATGTACAACTATTATGTATCAATTAAAATTTTTTTAAAAAAAGAAAGACCATATGACCATATCAATTGATGCAGACAATATATCTGAGAAAATTCAGCATTTGTTCATAGTAAAAACTTTCAGTAAACTAGGAATACAAGGGAGCTTCCTCAATCTTTTTTTCGTACCTTCCCCTATCTTTTTTTCATAGATAAAAAGTATCTATGAAAAAATACTTTATGGTAAAAGACTCAACACTTTTCTTCTGAAAAGAATACAAGGGAGCTTCTTCCTTCTTTCTTCAATCTGATAAAAAGCATCTATGAAAAATACTTTATGGTAAAAGACAGAATGCTTTCCTCCTGAGATGGAGAACAAAGCAAGAATGTCACCACTTCTATTGAACATCCTATCCAAGTCCTGGCCAGTAAATTAAGACAAGAAAAAGAAAGAAAAGGTATATAGATTGGGCATAAAATAGTCTCATTAACAAACAATATAATTGTCTTTTTCAGGAGTTGACAAATTTTTTTATAAAGGCCCAGATAGGAAATATTTTAGGCTTTGTAAGCCATATGGTCTCAGTCACAACTACTCAACTCTTGCCGTAGTACAAAAGTGTTACAATAGAGGTAAAATATTTATCTGTACTTAGTGTCTTACACAAGCAAAATCTGCACTACTTTGACCACACATAGAACCTAACTATTATACCTAGCAACTGGATTTCAAATACAGTATTTTTTAATGCAAAAAACACTTTTTATTTCCAATATTCACATATTTTTAGATAAGTAAAAATATCAATCTGGTTCATATTAGAATTCTTTAAATCTTAGCAACATGTAAATACATAATAGAGTTTGACTAAGTTACATTGCAAACATTCATCACACCTATGCAAATAAACTCTAAAACCTTTTTCAATATGATATACTATTAATATCATCAAATACAATACATAATATGCTGTTATCTCTATAAATCAT